ATGACGCGGCAGGAAAAATGGGTTAAAATCGCATACGAAGAGAGTAACGGGGAGATGAGTACAAAAAACTCAAGAAGAGCATGCGACTTAGCCGAAGTTATCCAGGTCGCAACGGTGAAGTGACAGCAAAACTATGCTGGAGCCTCATTGGGCTTCATGAGCACATCGACTTACTCCAGTGGTTTCGAGAAATAGGTGCAGTAGAGTATCCGATAATTGCAACGATGGCGCGCCTTCGGCTTGGGAAGTGGCATCAACAGCTTTTCAGGAACGCGTATTTTTCATAGGCTTTCAAGTTATGAACGACTTAAGGGCGCAGACAAAGAGCACTCGAGCGGAGAAACAACTGCTGTTGAAACACAACAGCATCGAAATTGAAAAAATGGGGAGAGCATCTGAGTGTATTTCAGCATGACCGGTATAATCAAGCCTTTAGTTTTGTATCTAAAACTTTTCAAGTATATAATGTTCAATATGCAGCCGTCACGTTCATTGAAAAGCATTATTTGGGTCTACATTTGCTGAGAAAGCCTCTGATATCTTCAACCATAACACATACAAGCAAATTCAGTGACGAAATTCTAAAAATGCGCCCAAATCCTGATCATCTGATAATACATGTATACTGCGCAACTTGTGCAGCGCAAGTCGTATAAGTAACGTTAAAAAAATGGGCTTACAGACACAAACTCATTTCATCCGCTACGACAATGATATGCATTCTGTTGGATGTATCTCCTCAGAGCTATTCAGTTCTACTTAAAGAAGTCTAAAGCACACGACATTAGCTTACAATCACTAGAAAGTGCCTTTCATTATGACATCCCGTCATATAATTGTGTCCTGGACATCGAAACTGCATCAGCATTCTGCTAACTCGGCCAACGAACTCTCCTCACTACGAATTAATAAACATCTCGCTTGACATATTTCCTCTGCCGAGTGCACCACTGTTCCCATCAGCTGATCGAGTGCTTGCCTAAGAACGCTTTAGATCAGGTTCTATGACGTGATAGTGATGACATGCTCAAAAAATGACGATTTCGTTGTGGTATTTCACTGTAACACAGGCGAAACCCGCAGTTGTTTGAAGTGGATAGAGTAGAATCAAGATACTTGTTCATGTTATCTGCTAGCCTCGTTTACGTGGTGCGTCTCACAAGCCTGCAAGCTGCGACGCTTGATTAATGCATTCAGCACTGCACGCCAACCTTGCCGTCACTTTCACAATTGTTCCGGACTCGATCCCCTCAGTATGATTAGTAATATTTCCGCTAGTCGATAGCTACCGACATATTATTGGTGGACTAAAACCGATTATGCAATCTTAAAAAACGCAATATCGTATTAGCTAATATAAGCTAATATTTATTAATATCATTTTGTCTCTTAAGAACATATTATATAATATTTTTTATATTAACTGGTCAGCAGGTGATATTTTCACAATATGAACTTCACCGATTTTGGAGTTACATGTACCATTAGCGATTTAACATGGATCTACGCATGAGATCGCATGTAGATGCAGCTCGTACATCCAGATCTTGCTTCGGTCTGAGCTAAGGGATACCGCTCGCCTTTTGGGTTTCTTCCAGTTCCAGTAAGCGATTTCCGGTACAGAAAAAATGTTTAGCTTTCTCAATTTGAAAATCACCGATTTTCCTTCCGATAAAACTCCACCTGGGGTAATGATCCGCACAACTTTCGCCATAGATTTTGTACTTTCGTCGTATACATTTCCCGTGCTTGTATTGTCCTTCATGTCGATGCCATACGAAATACAAAGACTCAAAAGATGCATGTTGCAGTCGACCTGCTCCGAATCGTCGAAATAAACCGAGACTTTTCTGGCTGAGTTAGTTGTGTCTGATACAGTATAACGCGCCCAACCACAAAGTCCACACCATACTCTTCGGTACTTCGGGAGCGAATCAGCTCAAAAACAAACATCCATCATTCTTCAGGGTTGCTAAGACCGCAATGTATCGCCACGTCCAAGACGAGTCGATGAAAGCTACAGACACGCCAACAATGCCAGCGCTGTTAGCATTTGTCCATATGTCGTGTAGGAAGTTGAGGAAGCGCTCGTTTAACGCCTTCTTCCGTTCAGTTTCGAGGAGGTTTTGAACGCTCTTTGAAAACAAGGAAAAGTCCCCCTCTAGCAGGTCGCTGTACCGATCTCTCGAAATAATCTCAATTTCCAGATTGCAGGTTAGCGACTGGATCATCAGCTTGAAAACTGGTGTCGTTACATTGTTGTATAGATAACCGCATCTAGCCAGCCACTTAAACACCACAACTCCTGCCTGACGGCTAGTCACACGAAAATGATCTGCAATTATTCAAATCTTTGTTGAGCTTCCTTGACTTGACTTTCTCCTGTCACTTTCTCGCGTATTTTCCACTGAGTCGACACGCTTTCCAAGAGCTGATTCTATTGCTCTTTCTCCCGATATAAAATTGTTTTTTAGAACGCTGAACTTTCATCTTTGTTTTGCCACCGACGAGTGGGTGGCATGGGTGTTGGCCGGCTAAATGCTCCCACGCGTTGGTACTGTGTTGGATTTTGCACAGTGACGACATCCATGAATCTGGATCACGTAATTTGCGGCTCTTGGTTTCTTCGGCGCACACTAAGCAAATATGTGTGAATGATTTATCGCTCTTTGATGCCTTGACAGGTTGACGAAGTCGTCGGATGTAGTCCCATACAGGTGTAGGACCGTTTTGGCGGACATACTTCACAGACGTTGGCTTACCGTAAATGTCTACAATTTGACTTGGTTCGTCGGAAGAACGCGCTTCAAGTTGTGCAAGTTGAATTATCGTTCCTTGGGATTCGTCTCCGTTCTCGGTATCGTCGCAGCCTTGGATGACAATTGGAGCGCTAGCTGTCCCTGCTGTAAAAGTATCTCGGCGCTTCTGCTGCATAGCCTACCAAAACGTACGAGTTCTTTAGTTGAATTGTCATCCACCAGGATAATGCATACCTTGTGCTAAGCTCTCCTGTGTAAACCTCGTTGGCGCAAATGTGGTGTACTCCCTTACCACACACGGTACATGGATCAGTCACAATACCAGGGTCCATACTACACCTATAATACGCGCATTTCCCGCCACTGGGAGTACCGAGCGATAAGCTCATCCGTTTCAGTAACTCACGGATTCCAAAGTGATTTATGCTGGCCATTGAAATTTAAACCAATTTCCAGAATATGATATTACTTATGTAAGGTTTTAAAAGTCACTCTCGGACATCTCACTGGCCTTTCTAAAATCGTACTTAATTGAGAAAATATCATAAAATATAGTCTAGTTTCTAATATTTTTCTAATCGCCATGTTAATATCAGAATATCATATTAGCTTTTAAAAAATTAAGATACTATTAATATTACAAATCGAAAATAGTACTATTACTATCAAAAATATCATATGATATTTGGCTTCCATTTTTCGCACGGCTGATTACTGTAGCAGTACTTTTGCTAGTCGAGCGCTAGCGACATCTGGTTGGTGGATTAAAGTAGATTACGCAATTTGTTAAAATAATCTTGAAAAAACTAATATTAAGTTGACATTTTATAATATCATTTTGTCTCAGAAGTATTAACTAGTCAACAGATGATATTTTCACAATATTAACTTTACCGATTTTTAAGTTACCATTTAACCCTGCTACATGTACAGTAGTAAGGGAAAATGCCAGATTCGTTCACTACCCCTTTCAACCAATTATAACTCGATGTCTGCTCTCATTCGATTTGATTGGCTACTCCTCAAAACCTCTATCATATGATGTGGATTACTATATTTTAAATCCTGCTGCTCATACAGGCTGGGCTTCGAGAAGAGTGGCCTCTGTAGAAAGAAACCCGCTGAGCGGCAGCCTATAAGTAAGCATGAAGTGATAACTGCTACACCTGAGCTACTTTTTGTGGGGAAGGGGTGGAAAAGACCAGCCGTATATCCGGCAGACTGATGAGATGTCCAACATGTAAGAGTTGATTCCTATACAATTTCATACACTTCTTGAATTATTAGTTTTGGCGATTTCAGCTCTAAGGTCCAGGCACCGATTATTAGATTTGCTTTTCTCTCAAAGAGCAAGTGAATAAGGTGCACGAAACTGGCAATGCTCGTGATCGGACGATCGAGTGGCTTTCAACTACCTGCTGCCTTAATTATGGGATAAATAGTGACGCTCTCACAAAAATGAAAAAAAACTTGCAATTTCCCTTAGGATACGTAGACCGTACCGGTAAGCCCCAATAATGTCAGGTACCGGTACCGGTTCATGTACCGGTAAGAAATAGACCGCAGGTACCTGCGTATTAGCCTGTCCATCAAGATGTTGGCATTGCCAACTTGGCAACAAGTTGCGAGTGTTCATCGAAAACTTTGATGCATACAGTACTTAAGTACATACATGTACGTGTACATACTGTCGTACGAGTCGAGTTGCACGCCTCGAGTCAACCCTCAGCAAATTGGGCCTTTTTCCGTGCAGCCGAAATTGGCGACAGAGGATCACATTGTTGATCAACGATTTGGCATCGACCAGACCCTGGGTTTGCATGCAGTATACCATGCTGGCACAGCATTGCTGCGACAGACCAGTAAGACACCTATGGATCATAGGTAGTATGGTCGATTCGTTGCCTTCCTTCAAAATGCGAGAAGAAGAATGATTCATTCTGAATGAATACCGGTACCGGCGAATTCACAATCCGTAGACCCCATCTTTTGAATGGTCCCGCCATCGGATCCCTGGTCCGAAGTTTGCAAACATACTTTAGTGAAGTCGTTGGACTCCCATTCCTAGTTCGCGCTTTCCCGATGGCTGCTAAACACCGCCTATATCTGATCCTGCCACGTTTTCAATGTTCAAAGCCGTCGGGTTCACTTCTCGAATTGCAAGCTGGTGTCGAAAGCGTTCACCTGCCAGACGGATACCTACGTATTGTAGCACTGTATCGCTCTGTTTGATCGGACGTCATGACCCACCGGTTTCCGATCCAGGCGTTGCCTCCGCTCGAGGTGAGTGATCAGGAACACGAAGCCAGCAGGGAGTTTATGCAGCAATTGTTGGCGCACACCATCCGCGAGTTTGAATTCCACTCGTACCTCAACAGCGGCATCGTTGACGCCCGACGTTGGAAGCCGCAGACGTCGCGTGACGATATTGAGCTGTATCGTGAACGCAAGACTGGCGTGACGGGCAACAGCGTCTTCAACTCGGTTCGTCAATGTAGACTCGACTTGCCAATCTTTTCGTCAACGATCGAGACTTTAGCGTCGCCCACAATGCTCCTCACAGGTTACGGTCAAGGTCGAGTCGAGAACGCCATGAGCGCAGTGGTCACGGAAAGCCAGCACGATTTGGCTTTGGCAGTCAAGTTTAAGCACCAGGACGTGGCCGACTGCGCCATCCTCAAGACGCTGGAGCCGCCGACGCACGAGGAGCCCTACCACTATCTCGGCTACAAGTTCTTTGTGAGGAAGTCGCCGACCGAAGGCCTCTTATTTAAGCACCGCCACAGCGTCTACCTCGAGTTCAGTGGCATCACCCAGTCGAGCAGAGGCGAACAACTGGGGTTCCACATCATGCACTCGGTCGAACTACCGGGATTCCCGGATCTGAGCAATTTCAACTCGATCCGCGCGCTGCAGTCGACGCGCTACATCTACCGCCAGAAGAGTACGCACATGGTGGAAGTCTTCATGCTAGGAAACATGGACATTTCCGGCCACATCTTCAAGCCGCTGGCCAACATGTTCACTGTCGACATGTTCTTCGGTGTCACGCGGCTACTGGAGCTGGCGGAGGTGCGTCGTCTCTCACAGATGGCACATAAACAACGCAGCTTCGGCTCCAGCACCGCTATCCTCGGCGGCTCGACGTCTTGCAAGGTGTGCAATCGCAGCGCATCCAAGCATAAGCTGATCACCTGTCTGCTGTGCAGTCACGCAGTATGCAAGAAGTGCACAAGCACAAAGCGCGTGTTTGTAAGTGACGACCAGGGCATCCTAGGAGACTTTATCAAGGTGCCAGGATGCAGGGCGTGCGTGCGTCGGGCTAACACAGGCAGCTTCTTATCGCCGCACCAGCGCGTCCTACGTACACCACCCAGTGAGCTCAAGTTCGACTTCCACAAGGCCAAGGCCAAGAAGTTCTCCAGGCCTCAGTCTCTAGCGACTACACCTCAAGCTACCAAGGCTCAGCGTGCATCTAGCCATATGCGTTCCCCGTCACGACGTCGAGAAACGTTCCCTTCAAGATCTCCGACCTCCCAGGTGCCGCACCAGTACGCGTCCACCAGCATGCCGGCGAACTCAAAGCTCGACCAGCAAGAGGAGCTCGACGTAGCTGAGCCCAATCTCAGTAGACGATGGACGGAGCGTGCCGCAAACGGGCGGTCGTATTCCGACCGAGGTTCCCGCAACGTCGAAGCCAAGCCGACCAGGCCTCGCGCAAGCACCCGCGTGTCGATTCCTTCTCAGAGTGAGGGCCCCATCTACGGCGCGCTGCCCCCCGAGCCGAGGACAAGCTTTGATCGGCAGATCCCGGCAGACATGTCGCCAGCGCAGCGTGCGGTAATGGCCCGCTTGTTCGAACTTAGCAAGATCGCCGAGGACACCTCCACGAAGGCGCATCTGAACGGCATCTACTGCGAGCAGCACTGGCGAGAGGAGCTCAAGGTCGAGGTGGAGGCCAGTCGCTCTCAGGTTCGCCACCCACCTGTGAGATCGAGGGTCTGAGCTGGTTCGACAGTTCCGTCCCCCCTGGGCACGGGATCGTTGACTGAGACCGACGAAGGAAGGATAAAGACAACATGTACGTTAGATAGCCAGGTGTGAATTGAAATTATAAAGAGTTCGAGGCTGAAGGTATTGCATCAAGTACATCGCGTCAGCCGAAAGTGTGCGCCAGTTACGGTCGCCTTGGTGCAAATGCGATTCACAGTGGCCGAACGGATTCCGTCACCCACGACTAAGCAGATTCCTTGAAAGGACTCAAAATTAAGCCATTAAAGTTATTCTGACTTTGAAAGTCAGAATAAAGATTACTTCATTTGAAACGAGAGTGACTATATGGTGCAAGCCGACGGGTTTACCCCATTAAGTACGAAATAGGGAGGAGGGGGTGAAAGCCGACTCGCTCGGCAACGAACCCAAGACCAAGCACGGCTACGGCCCTGTAGGGTTAATGCCCAGGAAGGTCTGGGTTTGGGTTTAGGTGGGTGATATTATAGAATTCACGCCAACTTTGCGAGACATGACATCCATTCCTCCCGTTTGAATCACCGGAAGTTACGATTCGTAACCCTTTGACGTCAACTCTACATGTAGTCATGCCACTGTGCTCTGAGCTTATCGAAACTTTTGGCGCCACGGAAACTGGAGTGGTGCTACATGTACAGTAAGAGTTGATCCAGTATATACTGAATCACGTCAACTTCGCCACGCTCCTGCTCAAGCGCAACAAGTTTCGAAAACCTGTTCACTAGACCGACAAGTTGATTTTCCTCATTCCATTCCCCGAGTTGCAGAGTCCGACGAAAGCACTATTAACAAAACTTGCCACCATGGGAAAACGCTTTCCTATTCCGAGTAAAGAACTCCCGAAGCTCCATGTGAATCAGCAGGAGCACGACGATAGCAAAGAGCTCATGACAGCTCTGCTGGCGCACACTCTGCGCGAGTTTGAGCATTTCGCGTACGATCGCAACGGTATCGTCGACTCCAAACGTTGGAAGCCGCAGCATTCGCACGAAGACATGAACATGTACCGTGAACGCGACGTGGGCATCATGAGCAAAGAGCTGAATAAGACTTTGCACAACTGCAATATGAGGAGCCCTGTCTTTTCGTGCACATTGGAAGCCTTGACATCAGCCACCGTCATGTTGACCGGGTGCGGCCCCGGTCGAGTAGAAGACGCCATGAGTGCAGTGGTCACCGAGAGTCAGCAGGATCTGTCCCTGGTTGTCACCTACATGCACCACGACGTAGCCGACTGCGCTGTGGTGCACACGATGGAGCACCCGAGTGACGATACACCGTACCACTACTTAGGCTACAAGTACTTTGTCAAGAAATCTCCTACCAACTGGTGGTCAAACACCGCGACTCGCTGTATCTCGAATACTGCGGTATGACGCAGACACGGACGGGCGAGACTTTGGGCTTCCACGTGATGCAGTCCGTGGATATTACCGAGTTCCCCGACTTGACTGTCCACAACTCGATCCGCGCACTGCAAAGCTCCCGGTATCTCTACCGACAGAAGAGTGACCGAGTCGTCGAGGTGTTCATGCTGGGCAATATGGACTTGTCCGGCATGATCGTCAAGCCCATCGCCAGCATCTTCTCGACCGGCGCGCAGTTCGGTGTCACCCGATTACTCGACTTGGCGGAGGTGAGGCGACTCACACACATGGCAAGGAACCGCCGGCGCTACCGTGGCCAGCTGCTTAGCAGCGATCTCCAGGTTAACCGGTCGTGCTCGCAACACGTAGCTGGGGAGGGCTGCAACGTCTGCAACCAGGGCAGATTCAGCAAATTTGTGGCCTGCTACCTGTGCGGACAAGGTGTTTGTCCACGTTGCCGCTTTATGAAGCGAGTGTGGGTCAGTGATAACCTCGGTATCATGGGTAGCTTCCGCAAGTTTCAAGTGTGTTCTAAGTGCGTCATGTGCGCCAACACAGGTACGTACGAGCCTCCAGCCGAGCGTGCGCGGTTACAGAGGTCGCATCAAAGCAGCGTCATTACAAACCCAAGCGATGGCGAGCTCTCGTCGACGCCTGACGTAGGCAATACCACGCCTATTTTCGACAGAACACTGAGCGATCGAATATACCAACGGAGGATAAAGATGCCCCCGACACCTGAGACCCCAATCATGGGTCGAACCTTCGTGCACCAGGGTGTTACGAACTACCCAGATGCCGTCGAGTTCGCTGGGCCTTGCACGTCTCCTGAGTTTGAGGTGCCAACCCGGCAAGGCGTGGCAAATCAAAATAGATATCTATCCAAGGCTGACGGCAACTCTCAGTCCAGGACAACCAAGAAACAAGCTTTCGACGATAGGGGTTTCAACGAAATAGCGATGATGGCGCGGCTCATGGAGCTCACCAGTATGGCTGAGTCCACGTCCTACAAGACGCAAGCGAACGGGGTCTATCTTGCACAGCAGAAGCAGATGCAGCACCAGTTCACGATGCCAGTGGCGGCCGACTGCAGGAAGTGTGTGCGGACGCCCCAACCATCGTTTGAACCATGACGTAAATAAATGGATAGGCACGTACGATCTGCGCGTACTCTGTGCTTTGCAGAGCTCGAGGCAATTGTATCTCTCCGTTGCCACGCCAAAGCCGCGCGGGGGTGGAATTGTCAAACGAAACGGTGGGTGCTGAAGAGACTCTGTCGTCTAAGTGAGCACGTACACTTGCCGTTCTTGCAGTCGTTCGGCCTCATTTCGCTACATGTAAAAGTACCACTTGGTACAGTACATGTACTGCATCCACCACAACGGACTCCGCCACGGAGATCTTGTTTACCCTCTTGCTTGACGTTGAAGCCGACTCGAATGGATAGGCAGCTGGAAGACGCTGTGAACAGCTCACATGACTCATGTCATGAGCTCTTCGAATCGATGGAGACGATGATTTCAGTGGTCGCGCGGTTCGCGTTTTTTTTTCGAGAGCAAATACCGTACATGTAGTACATTTATGTTGATGTTGCGGTTCCCCGTTCTGTACCATGCTGGCCCACTGCCAGTGGCTTACAGTGTAAGCCTTACACTGAGTGTCTGGCCGTCACGCACGTTGCAACAGCACAGGTGGCGGGTGTCAAGCGCACGCAGGACCTCGCAGCGCTCCCTCTTCTACATGTAATACTGTAGATGTTCTATAAACTCAACGGGCTCAGAGTCTTCACGAGTGCGCGACGAAGTATTGCGGAGACCATCCGTTTGATCAGTCTGATCAAAGTCCTGTCTGCCTAAGCAGTGCATGCGTCATTAGCCGCGCCTCTATCGCGACTTTGCGTATATGATGGCCACGCTGGCCACTCAGTCACACTTTTCCTCCTTGTCACTAACGTGTTTCCGTCGACAGCAGTATGGGGCGTCAAGACCTCCCACTGCCACGCCGGGACTTCCCCGACTTCTCTGTCTCGCCTGAGGAGCATCAAGACTGCAAGGACCTGGCCACGAAGCTGCTAGCTCATACGGTGCACGAGTTCGAACGGGTTGCCTACGATGAGAACGGCGCGGTCGGCCACCGCCGGTGGAAGGCAAAATCCACCAAAAATGACATCACGCTGTACCGCGAACGCGACGGCGGTTCTATGGGCATGGTACTGGCCGACTCGCTGCATCGGCTGGTCGAGAAGCAGGAGATTTTCTCTCCTACCGCAGCGACATTGATCCCACCGACTCTGCTACTCATTGGGACCCGACAGGTTTCGTGGAGAACGCCATGAGCACGCTAGTCACGCTGACGCAGGACGAACTGGCGCTTGTGGTCAAGTTCCTGCTAGCGACGTCGCCGATTGCGCTGTGCTGCACACCATGGAAGGCCCCACTGCGAGCAAACCCTTCCACTTCCTGGGCTTCAAGTTCTTTGTGACGGAGTCTGCAGCTGACGCTCGGATCATTAAGCGACGACACAGTGTCTATCTCGAATACACGGGGCTCACGCGCTCCCGAACAGGAGAAATACTGGGCTACCACATGATGCAGTCGGTCGCACTGCCTCAGTTTCCCGATCTTACGAGTCGCAACTCGGTCTGTGCAATGACATCCATGCGGTTTATCTATCGCCAAAAAGCGGACAGCCTTGTGGAGATATTTATGCTGGGCAGCATCGACGTCTCTGGCTGGCTCATCAAGCCCATGGCCTCTATGGTTGTCGAGGACGTGACGTTCGGCATGACCCGGATGTTGGACTGCTCCGAGACTAAAAGACTCACTCAGATGGCGTGTGAATTCCAGAAACGGAAGCACGACGAACGGCGTGGCCGGCGACCAACTCGTCAGACGTCCGTCGGCGACGACACATGCTGCTCAGTGTGCCAGCGCGAACGTAAGGGCGGGTTTGGAGGCGTCAAACTCGTTCCGTGTCTGGTCTGCGGATACAGAGCGTGTTCTCGCTGCCGTGCCAGTAAACAGGTTTTTGTGACCAGCAACGACGGACTTCTAGGCAAACTCGTCAAGGTCCCAGTGTGCAGTATTTGCACCATGGCAGCCAACATCAGCTTCTATTAATAATACGAGCAGCAGTACCGTGCTCAACAAAAGAGCAGCTCCGGCGAAGAAATGTCCTTCCGGCCTATGCATTTGTCTGATCGATACGACCGCGAAGACTCCTTGAGTTTTTCCGAGTCGAGCAGCAGAGGACAGAGCAGACTGCAGCGCGAGGAAGGCTCTGGCTCCTCGAACGATTTGATGCGCTACTTTCACGCTGCAAGAGAGCGAGAGAACTCCACAGAGCCCGCGAACAGGCACACCGAAGCAGCGACAGCGTATCAGTGAAAGAGGTAGCATTAGTACATGTATGGTTGCGTAGCAGTGCACCGCTACGCTCGCCACTTCGCAGTCAGTGTTAGATTTCGACAACTACTGAAAGTGTATACTTCCGTACGAAGTACGTAATACTACGTAGTAATTAAGGGTTAATACCGGTATGCACTCGCTTACAATTTGGTCACTTCAAAGACTTCGTGTCTTTGATGACGATCCAGTCTCCAAGCGAGTTTTCAAGGCAGACGCAGCATCGAAACTCCCGGCTCGACGTGTGGATCGAACCAGTCGCCGGTCGACGCGAATATTTCGAGCCTCGAAATTCGAGGAGCTTACCACGTGACCAAGGGTCAGTCGATTGGTCAAGCAGCTCCAAGGCTACTGTATCGATACCGTTTATCTGGTCGCTGATTCGCTGAGCCACACAAGTGATTCTGTATATCTCGGGCTCTGCTGTTCGGATCAGATATTAATACTTTGCCGTCATGCCAATGGCTCGAGACAGATTTGCTTCAAATCTGTCTCGCCCGGCGCATTTGCTTCAAATGCGCCGGGCGATCCCACAACCATTTTGCAACTTGTTTGGTGGCGCAAAAGCCTCCATCGAGTACAGTACCCTCAATGGCTCGATCTCGATCTCGAGACTTCCCCCTGCCCCGGGATATGCTCCCGGACATTTCTGTTCCTTACCATGACTATATCGCGTGCAAGGAAATGAGTTCCCGTTTGCTGGCTCACACAGTCCGTGCGTTCGAACACTTCGCCTACGACCGACTGGGTGAGGTGGACACCAGGTTCTGGAAGACACAGGCCCTTCGAGGCGAGTTAACCGTCTACAAGGAGCGTCACGCCGGTCGTGTCAGTGAGTCACTAGGCAACTCGCTCCACCGCTGTACTTCGACATCGCCGCTCTTCTCCACGACACCAGCGGCCATTACGCCGGCCACAATGATGCTGACGGGCGCTCACCACGGCTACGTGGAAAACGCGGTCAGTACGTTGGTGACCAAGTCGCAGGAGGAGCTAGCCCTTGTGATCCGATATCTGCACGGATCCTCCTCGGACTGCGGCATCCTGCACGTCATGGAGCCGCCAACAGATGACGACCCGTTCCACTTCTTCGGCTTCAAATATTACGTCAGTCAGGCGGTCGGAGACCCGCGCATCTGCAAGCGACGGCACTGCGTCTATCTAGAAGACAGCGGCTTCACGCGCACCCGAACAGGCGAGAAGCTCGGGTATCATATCATGCACTCGGTGAATTTGTCCCAGTTCCCTGATCTTCGTAGTCGCAACTCGATCCCGGCGTTGATGTCGACACGATTTCTGTACCGGCAGCGTGAACACCGCATAGTGGAGGTGTTTATGCTAGGCAATATCGACATCAAAGGCCTCGTAGTCAAGCCAATCTCGCTTCACTACGCAGTGGAAACCATGTTCAACATGACGAGGCTGCTGGACTGTTCGGAGACCAAGCGACTGACCCAAATGGCACGGGAGTACCTCTGGCGTAGGAAGCAGGAGCGTCGATGGGAAGACAGACTTGCGCACGCAGATAACGACCCAAACAAGTGTAGTATATGCGAGCGCATGGGAAAAGAAGGCAGCATCGGAGCTCTGAGCGTCGTCGAGTGTCTGGTTTGCGGACGCGCTGCGTGCTCCAGGTGTCGGGCTTCGAAACAGGTTTTTGTGAGCAGTCAGGACGGACTGATGGGACGGCTGATCATGGTGCCCGTGTGCACTGGTTGCATTATAGAGGCGAACACGAGCTTTTTCGACGTCCTGCGATCTCAGCGACGTGGACGTGCTAGAAGCGCTCGCGTTGGACGAGAAACGATCGACTACCGAAGCGGAAGGACTAAGCGCCGCGGTGGAAGCACTCGAGCGGTGAACGTAGCAATGCGAAGTCCACCCGTTGACCGTAGAAGACGGCCTACTACGCAATGGAAAGACGACAAGATACCGTCGACGCCCGAGACGCAACAGTCGAGTCCTGATCCTTACGGCTCCGCCAGGCAGACCTGGATCACTATACAGAGGCGATGCGGTTGACGCCCCGAGAGGCCTCGATTATTATCGAGGAGCGGAAACCTGTTCGCCGCTCACGTTCAAAGCCACCCAAAGGCCCACCGCGACTTCACCGGTATCAGTCCGGCTGAGAAAGTGAACATGGTGAAATTACTAAAGAAACTAGCCGAGCGCCGCCGCTTCGCGGCGGTAGTTTAGGTTTTACATTCAAGTTGTTTGCCTTCCCGCCGCTTCGCTTCGGGTGGATAATTATTCAAAAAACTAAGAGCCCCTAAATAGCATGAAATAGACTTGGTTTAAGTATGTTAAAAGAGAGCGGAATAGCGTGAATTAGACTTGATTTAAGTATGTTAGAGAGAGCGGAACCCCTAGCATTATACTTACAATGTTAAAAAAAGATTATTCTACATGTAGCGATCTTGACACAGTCTCTTTATTATTGTTGGCTATCACTGTCAGAATCACCTGCACTTCAAATAGCATGTCTACAAACGCCACACAAAATAGGTAGCTTTGCGTCGTGCTCGATATCATTTGCCGTTTCTGAGCCGCTATGAAACTTAGCTCGCATCAATGCAAAGGATATTATAGTAATGGCATGTCCTGTTTCCACTAAGTACTCGTACTGTCTGTTTGAGCTTGTAATTAACTGAACATTGATCACTTCTCATACCAAACCATGACGCCTTGCTGTTGTTCTTTGTTGACGGTGGTGTTTTTTATTTGATAGTGTAACGATGATTCCAGGATGGCTAAACGTCAAAGTTTACTAACGTTTCTTTATGGGGTCTTTTTCACCAATTATAATTTTCACCTCTCGTGAATCAAGATTCTTGATCCATTTTTTTTTATTGCTGGCTTTCACTGGATCTTCATCTTCCACCCAAAACCACCAGCACTTTAAATAACATTTATACAAACGCTACACAATATGTTTAGTTTAGCGTCGTGCTCGATATAACGGGCCATTTCTGAGCCGCTATGAAACTTAGCTCACAACAGCGCAAACGATGCCTAATTCAGCTATTAATAACGATTGTTCACTTCTCATATCAAACTCAATGAAAGCTAAACAATATCCAAATTGTACTATTTTAATGAATCCAGCGTTCATTTTGTGCTGATTCAGAATTAGCACTCGAATCTGTGCCAGTTATGATTGAAGCATTTGGATATTGTGTCGCAAGACGCCTTGTTGCTGTTGCTGGTGATTTTGTATTTGATAATTTAACGATGATTCCATAATTATTGGACGTCGTTTAGACTCCAAGTTTATTAGCGTTTCATTATGGGGTCTACTTAACCAACTATAATTCACACCTCTCGTGTTTTGTTGTTGTATTGCCGCTCCATTTAAAATCGTATCCTACGCCCCTGTCGACGGCACGTCCGCCAGTTAAGTAGAATCAGATTTTGCTGTCTAAACAACTCTTAGAAAACAATGGTTTACAGCAGTAGCACATATGAGCTCATTTTGTTCAATCTTAAACTACAGTTTCTACCTTTATGGATCAAGTGACAACGTTTATTAACACAGCGTTGTTCTTACGACCAGCTTCTGCTATACATGTACTATGAGTCATAGTCTATGACCTCACTCTCATATAATTTATTAATATTTCTACTTTAAAACAGTTGTAGCTACAACAGTCATTGTAATTTACATAACTTATTAAGCACATACTATCACGTATATTTACAGTATGTCCCTGGAAACGCGCATTCCTACGTGTACGTTAAGCACCTTGCAGCATTGGAAGTATCTTTAGGGGCTATTTCATTTGCGAATAAGTAGCTCTTTCTGTTTAGCACTCAAGTATTAATAGCAACATCCCATATTAAAATAGTACAGATTAAAGTTTCGTAGTATTTAAACGATGATAATGGACAGTCTTGTGCAAATCGCCATATGTACTCTGTGAACCACATGAATTTATTGATGTAAGCTACATAATTCATTTTTAACCAATCGAATCCGCCGTCGCACCGCTCGGCAGCCAATAGGAAGGCTAAAAAATCTGAGCGTTTCGTGTGACGGACGGATGGACACCGTGCTAGCATTGATTGTTTAGGACTAGCCGTTCGCCACCGCTACGCGGCGGAGTGGCATGGTTTCTTGGAGATAAGGTGGCCGCAATTTTAAGTACTTCGTGTTGTGTGCTTTCAGTCTGATCTTGTACCCCGAGGCTTCGGCCATTCCCGTGCGATGTTGTGCCGTGTAATTAAAACACCTGTCATTTCGTAGTCTCATGTGGCGGTGTACGATAATGTTAATTCGTTAGTGGCTGGGCCACCGTCCGTGCTATCGTGTTATCTCGCGGTATCGTGGTTGGTCTGTCGTCCGAGCTATCGTGAGCTACCGTGATACTGTGCTCCGTGGCTTGGCTCTACCCTGGTATCGTGCTCCAATGCTCGGTGATTTCCCGCTTATGCTCTCCCGTGGCCTCGTGCTAGGTTCATCGTCTGTGCTTCATGTTCTACCGTGGTGTTATGGGAGAATTGCTTTCCGTGCACCTTACCGTTTTCGTGGCCCGTGGTTTTCAGCATGTTGGGGTGTCATTACTTCAGTTACTTTCCGTGATCCGTACGCTCCCATCACATTCTTGCCATTCCAAGTTTTCATGGTAGCGTGCTCGTCCGTGGTTCGTGCTTTTCAGAATCGCTAACTGCCTTTATTGATTTAGTCCTCTTTCAACGTCCGTGACCTTCCGTACTTCGTGTTCTTCCCTCTACCCCATCGTGTACATAGTGTACCCCGGTGCTCCTCCGTGTTTCGTGTTCTTGTTTATCCACTTGCCTCCGCACTAATTCAATCGCAAACGCTGTTTTTATTTTGTTTAATGTATGCTACATATCGTGTTGGAAAGTGCGCACAATCTCTTAAGGTCGTACACTACGCACGCAAATACAAAGGAATACGATCCCTTTTTTCGGCGGCGGAGTGGTGTACATGGTTATGTGGGGTGGGATGGTGGGAAGTCACTATATTCACATTTTAAATTTTTTTAAATATCTAATATTAGTAATAAATTGTGCATTTTTAAATGACGCGAATAAATACTAAAGCTTAATTAATTAGTACTAATAAATATATTTCAAACGCTACTTATCAATTAAGTGTAGTACTACTACAAACGTCTGCAAGCAACAAACTTAAATATTTTTCGAATAGTACTACGCAAAACAGTATTGTAAGATAAATTATTACAGAAGTACTACGATGCCAGAACAAATCATATTTTAGCCTGTAAGTACTAAAGTTTCGATTAATGCCGAAATATGAGTCACCAAAGCCTACAATTTTTTTCAACAGCTCCCACGACGATACAGTACGTATGTGCTCATCGCCTTCTACTAATTATAACTAACGCGCACACAGGCAGCGCCCTATGCGTCGAGAGGCGCTCCGCTGCTGAATATGAGACATTTGAACGGTGCTTTTAAGTACGATGTAAACACCACATACATGGTGTACACAGCACAATGCGATTTTAGCCAATTGCGGCCGCCTTCGCTGCGCTCGGCAGCCAGTAGAATGCGCGTATTTGCGTTACATTTATTAACCCTATTCATGGCTAAAAGTGCAATTTTTTCATAGTCAAGCCAAGTCACAAAGATAGGTGCAGTCGAAAGGATGGGACCTTATAGTACCGAACAGGTGGAGTGTAGCCATGCGTGAGGAAAGGTTCATGCTAACAAACAGGCCCGTTACGACGGACTGACGGACAGACACCAGACTCCACTAGATGGGGTAGACTAGCCGTTCGCTGCCGCTACGCGGCGGAGTGGCATGGTTTGTTAGAGATGCGGTGGCCGCAAATTTAAGTGCTTCTTGATGTCGCGTACTTTGTGGGCGTCGTTCACCCCAGTAGGTCTTGGCTTCGTGTTCTTAGCCACTTACCATTCCGTAGTCTCATATGGACCCGTATAATATCGTGGTTTGGTACGCTTCCGTTCCCCCGTACGACAGGTTGAATGTCATGTTGTTCAATGGCTCGCGCTCTACCGTGTTCTGCCTGACATCGTGGCTACTGCTGACGCGTGGTCCATGCCGCTTAGTGGTTATACCTCCTTTTTAAGTTCATGCTCTTTAGTACGGCCTCTTTCGTGACTACTAACTATTCCCTGTTCTTAAACGTTTACGTGGGTTGCACCAGCTTCGTGGTACATTTCGGCCGTTGGCCTCCCATCGCCAGTACTCTAGACTAAGGGTACTATTCCGTGGATTGGTGCCTCCACGCAGTCGTGATGTTCCGTCGCCCGTGTATCGTGATCTCCTGATGAAGTGTCATCGACCGCGGTATCACGCTATCGTGCAATCGAGGTGTGGTTATGCTGTCTATGGTATTGTGCACGCGTAGTGCATCTGCGTTGCCCGTGTTATCGTGCTCTGCGATGCCATCTTGCTCCACGGTGTGTAATCGTGGTCATACCAAGCCCACCCCCTGTGCATTTGGTGGCTGGTCCGCCGTCCGTGCAATCGTGTTCTCATGTACTACTGTCCTTCGTGGCTCGGTAAGCTCGGGTTCTACACTGGTATGGTGTTCCGTGGCTCGGTGATCTCCGGTCTATAGCTCCCATGGCTGTTTGGCTTTCCATGGTTAAGTGGTTGGGCCACCGTCCATGCTAGTGTGTTCTTCGTAGTCTCGTGGCTGGTCTGCCGTCTGTGCAGTCAGGTTCGAATGTAGTATCATCCTCCGTGGCTTGGGGAGCTCAGGTTCTACACTGGTATCGCTCTCCGCGGCTCGGTGATTTCCCGTCTATAGATCGACGGCTGAGTTCTCCCATGGTCTAGTGGCACCTTCCATGCTATCGTGTTATCTAGTGGTGTCGCGGTTGGTCGGTCGTCTGTGCGACCCTTAGCTTCCGTAGTATCCTGCTCCGGGACTCG